TTAACTTCTTGGGTTCTTTTTAAAGGTGCACTGTGCAACTTTTCTTTTGGAGGGTCCTGCCACCTGCTTGTCTCCATGGAGATATTGCTTTCCCTGGAATGTTCCATGGTATTACATTAAACATTTCCATCTAGCATTTATTCCGTTTGGTTGTTTCTATTGCTCAAAAAGACAACAATTCCTTATGCAAATAGTGGTGACTCTCCACAACATCTAAATTGTAATGTAGCAAAGTGCTGTAACACCCTAGTCTCCCTTGTGATAGCTAGGTTTCATTTATATTAATGGAACATTCTAGACAAAGCAATAACATTTCCAGAGAGACAAGCAGGTGGCTGACTCTCCACTAGAAATGTTAGGCAGTGCACCTTTATGTAAAGACAAAGGACTGCCTTTACCTTGTCGACATGTTTCGACTGCTAGCTGCAAGCAATCTTCAGATTAGTCCTACTTCGTATTTTATCTTTAAAAAGAACCCAAGAAGTTAATGTGCAAAAGATGTACAAAATGAACATTCTTGTTTTAGGTACTCCTGTCCATATAGATCAAGATCTAGAAAGAAGATGCTGGACTGAGATGCCCATTGCTCCTGACAGGTCTCCCCAGTGGAAAGGCAGTGAAATTAATTGCATTTTAACCGAAATCAAGATCCCATCATTTCTAATAGTAATGATATGCTTGGATCTTTTAACGTGGTCTACAGCAAAACCTCCATCAATAAAAGCATGTGGTTTGGTTTGGAGTTCAGACTACTGAGGAATTAAAAAAAAATTAAAAGTCTTGTTTATGTTCAGGAAACTAATATTGGAAGCAATTTAATGTTTTTTAATATGACAAAATAAAATAAATAAGTGAGAAGAAAAAAAATATGTAAATGTATAATATCAATTTGCACAAACAACAAAGGAAAATATATAAATATACTAAGTGCATCGTTTGAACAACTGACTGTTTCATTTCAGTGCTCTCTATTCACTGCTGCCACTTGAGGAGATAAAGTCCAAAGTGTATTTGCAAAGCAGTGATATTATAAAGCCATTATAATCTCACAAAGCCTTTTTGTTAGGACCTTTAATTAAAACGCACACAGCACAAAAAGCTGGTGGTGCTTTCACTGAGAGACTGCTACCTTGGGGCTTGTTTGGTCCAGAGGCAAACACAAACTAAAAAATACTGTTTAGTAGCACTATCATTATTACAGCTGTAAATCACATCACTAGACTCACATTCAAAATAACAAAAATACATTTATTTACCTGAGTGTGATAAAACTTCAGTTGAAATAGTAAAATGGGGAGTTTATGCACTGGCACACTGTATAATCACACAAACTCACTCTCAAACTTGATCAAGATTTATGAACCAGAATTTCTCAAGCAATATCATTATAAACAAGAAGACTGCATTGAAGAACCTGGGCTCATCTCCACTGTAGCTATTAAAAACCTCTCATCTAAAGTAAGCAAGTGATTTGTCCTTACGTTTTTGCTGACGCGTACTTATGCTGTTATTATAACAGCTGTATAATTAATCTGCCATTCACAATTACGGTGTACACCTTGGCATTTCAAAGCAGACAATATGGCAAGATCACCAGTTATATGAGATTTTACCACAGGAAAATGTGCTTTGTAGAATTTAATATTATAATATAATATATAATAATTTTGTGAAATCTAAAGGGAGATGATACCAGTATGTTGGCTGAGAGGGTTTCAAAGTTTATTAAATAGTGAGTCAAATGATTTTTAATTAGCGTGACTGAGCTAGCGGGTCCATCAGTGCAATAGGACTTTTGTATTGTGGCTGCAAGGAAACAAATGAGATAACTTTTTAGCTAAAGTTTGACAGACGCTATAGATAGTTTCTAGTGTGGGCATTCGACCATGAAATAAGACGGCTGTTTGCTGAAAAGTGCTCGCTATTAATAACAGTTTGAAGAATAACAGCTGTTGAATATTAATGGTAGCATTATAACTGCAGTTTTTAGAAGGCTTTAATTAGGTCTGGGTGATAATAGTTTTATGTTTGGTTTTTAATAAATCACGATTTTTATAATGCATTTTGTCTTACTAATAGACATAATTTTCTGAGTATCAACAAGACAAACCTTTTACTTGTGTCTTGATTAAAAATACCAAAGAACATAATTAGGAAAAAAATTAAGATTCAGATTTTATTAACTAGCCCTAGCTTTAGTGAAACCAAACACAACAATTGTAGAAAGCTCAAAAAGTTTACAAAAAGCACGAATAGCCACACCTATAACGAGAGTAATGTTACTTCAAAATATTACTCAAGTAAAAGTACAAAGTAGGGGTCTAAGAAATGTCAAACAAACAAACAAATAAAAACATATCTGATGCAAGAAACACAAATGTTCAAATCATTTCATATTGTTCACATAAAGCTTTAGTCAAAACGTTTACTCAAGTAAGAGTAGTGTAAGTTTTATAAAAAATATTACTTAAAGGTGCACTGTGTAACATTTCTAAGGTCTTTATTACAATTCAGATCTGTGGAGACTCGCCCCTATTCACAGAAGTAATTATTGTATTTTAGAGCACTAGAAACACCTACAATCAATAAATACTCGATGGAAATGTTTGATGTAATACTATGGAATATTCCAGGGAAAGCAAAATGTCCATGGAGACAAGCCGGTGGCGGACCCTCCAAAAGAAAAGTCAAGCAGAGCACCTTCAAAAAGAACCCAAGAAGTTAATGGACATGCAACAAACTCTCCATGGAGGCAAGCAGTTGGCGGCCCCTCTACCAGAGATGTTGCACAGTCTACCTTTAAACAGAAGTGAAAGTAAAAGTATGCTACTAGATTTCTTCATAAAGTTACTCAAGTGAATGTAACTGAGTAAATGTAAGTGACTAACCTCAGCCATTTGTAAGCAAAACGATGCATTCATGTCAGCTTGTTACAATTACGACAAATATATTGTGTAACCCAGTGTGCACTTTATTTTACAGCAGTGTACAAGACTTGTCTGCTAGCCTGTGTCCGCACTGGTCCACAAAGCCAACAGAAGGGGATTCTGCGTGCCCATCTGCAGTGAATAAACCAAGCGGAAGCCTCCAGAACCTCCTGAACTGTCAAAAGGCCGTCTGCTACCTCACGACATTCACACACTGTAGTCTGAGGTAACCAGGCGTGCACCCTTCATCATCACCACCATCTTCATCACCATCGCTCCAGCAACATTAGGCTTGTTTGACTTAAGCTGTTTTGTTTTGAATATATTATATTGTGCTTAGATTGTCGTGATAACCCAACACGCTTTTATATATGCGGATACAGGGGCTTATAATAGTATTGTACCTAAACTGCATATTGACGCCCATACTTTAAGATGCTATGATTCACAGTAACAGATACAATAACTGACATTTCATGTGTAACAATAATGCCAGTAGTAGTCAGAAAAGAAATGACATCTTCAGCTACATATTTACATAAACATAAACCACAATACTGGCAGTTTAAAAAATGAAAGTCATGCCTTTAAGAGTTATAGATTGGAAAGTAAATACTGAAATAAAAAGTCAACCGAAACAAATGATAGCTTTTCATTTTAATTGAGACAAACTTCAAAATAGCAACTTGGACCAAGGCTTTGTGAATGTCCAGCCAGTTCGTACAATGGCGTCATTGGACTTGTTGGAAACTGCTAACAGATTGGAGATGGCCATTTCAATGTTGTTATGGAAACGAGATGAGACTGTGCGACAAGCTCGTTCTTATCACACTTTTTAACTCTTCTGCATGTTATTGGATCTCATCCTATTGGTAAATTGCAATTTTTATGAGCTGACCCCAACGAGCAAACTTTTAATAGAGATGGCCATTTTCCAATTTGTGCTCGAACACAGCCTAGCACTCTTTCTGACAGTTTCCCTCTCTCATGGCAGCCCCTCCAGAGAGTTAAGGCAGCGAGGTGAGAGATACTATTTCCCTGTTCGGTCTGGGTTAAGAGCCCACTCATAGAGATAAGACAGCATTGTTTACGTGGCCAAGCCTTGTTATAACGCCCACACGCACTCATGGGGGTCCTCATGTGCGCCTCTGTAGCACTTGAGCAGCCACTTATTGAAAACAGCAGGTGGATGGGTCAGAGGTGAGAAGGAGAGTGATGGGTGTGAAGCAGGTTAGAAGAGGTGGATAGTAAAATATTGGCCATTGACGCGCTAAGATAATAGCCATCCACGTGAACATTCTACACAACATGAAAACATTCAGTTTTTTTTTTTCCATGGTGCTCTGTACAACACAAATCATCATATCCATCAGTCCTAATCTTGAATAATGGTTACATTTGCTTTGCTTTGTGCGTAAAAATAAACAGAGAAAACAAATGTATGTCTCTGAAAGGTACAAAACAAAAAGATCAGATTCACACTGAAAGATGCACGCACACACACACACACAGCCCACTCATCACCTGTCATTGCTTTCATTTATCTAGTTTATAGTTGATTACAAAAATTTGATTTCTTAGACTTTAGGGCTGGAACTTACGATTATTTTAGTAGTAGTCTAGTCTTTTTATTTGTGTGTTTTTTTTATCATTATTATTAGTAATATTAATTGAATACAATCAAACTATTATTGCGATTATACATTGAGATGTTTAAATAAAATAAAATCATATAAAGTTTCAAATGTAGTGACTGAAGGCATCTGTGATAGAGAATATTTACAAAAAAGTGCTGTATGATAAAAATCACATTGTTTTTGACATTTTTATCCAATAATGCAGCTGTCTTTGTTATAAAGGGTTGATTACAATTCTAAAAATACAATTATGATTATTTTAAAAGTCAACTAGTTACAATTACTCTGATTAACTGTCCCAGGCCCATTAGACTGCATATTGAGTAATACTGATATAAGTATGTTGATATGTATCTTTGTACTTTTCTTTTCTCTATATATGGGTGAAGTATGAGGCTATAGAGAGAGCAACTGAATGGTGATGGAGGGTACATACCGATACTTCATGCCTGTTTGCTTGGCGGTGGACTCCTTTAGGTTGTGGTGGTAGCGGTGAGTGAAGGAGCCCAGGCTGCGGGCGATCAGGGCCACTGTGCGGAAGCGTGCACGGGCCTGGCTGGCTGAGTTGGGGCTGGTGGCATTCTGTTTGCTGTGCTCACCATTCCGTGGGGCCTTTAGCCCGTGGTCTGTGCACGCAAAAGACACCTGCATGGCTATGGGCGAGCCAAAGACCTCTAGTGAAGGAGAACTGTGGAGACTCTGCCCCACAATGCAGATTTAAATATAGTGTACACTGTTAATATTTAGATAGGGAATCTCAAGCCGGCGTAGAGTCTATACTGAACATAGCTGCAGAGGTGTGTAGCTTGGTGAATGCAGAGCTGGGATCCTGCACCGTCACGCCACCTGAAACATGGGAAGGATGGAAGTGAAGGAGAAAGATGGAGGAGAAGAAGTAACTTGTAAGTTGCTTGAAGAGTCACTCAGTTTAAAAACAAGAGTTGAGCAAAAGAGGGAAATCCATGTGTCCGCAAGTTTTACACGGTCTCCCACAACGGGGTAACATAACAAATGAAGAGTAATTTGTCCTACTTTTTTCACCCAGTACTGTTTCAACCTATACTACAGTTTCTAACAAGAAAGGTCTCTACTCTCTATTGATTATCCCGCTCAACAATTCATGATTGCATTTGAATTGCTTTGCCTTTTGGTGCTTTGCTTTGCTGTGTTGCCTGAACTTGTAGATGTTTCAGGAGTCTTTCTTACACCACTAAGCTTCTTATCCAAACACCTGGTGTGAGCCAAGTACACTGCAGCAGTATCTCAGTGTATACACTTTTACACACTTGCACATCTGACAAAATAGGGTCACAGCAAAGCCCACAGTAACACATTTGCACAAGACCATTACTGAAAACATGTGTTCTTACATGAAATTAGTTGATCAATCACTTCAAAACAACGCAGACAAATCAGACTCCTCTCCCTTAACTTTCAAATGAGCAAAGTGGACGTGCAAAGGTTCACATCCCCAAAAGAACAGCTGGTGTTTTTGTCCTCAAATATGTCCTCTGCCACTGTCCCATCTCCAAAGTCCCTAATGCAGCAGGTTTGTGATCCTCTTCGGCTCCAGCAGTGAGACAGCCCTGTTGTGGTAGCGCGCCTCTGCAATAGTAACGGACAAACGGAGAAGAGGATGAGAAAGAGGAAGCATGGTACTTGAGTTCAGACATAAGAATGAGAGCACAGATGCAGTGAGGAGGCGAGAGAGGGAGGACTGCACAGTGAATGGGGAGAGAGAGAAAGAGAGAGAGAGAGAGAGAGAGAGAGAGAGAGAGAGAGAGAGAGAGAGAGAGAGAGAGAGAGAGAGAGAGAGAGCAGTGGTGTGTATGTGTGTGAAGGCTACACCGGCACGGACTGACTGACTACTGGCTGAAAGATCTGCAGTGTTTTCATTATGGTGCCACACTGTGAAACAAGAAGCAACGAAATATATAGACTGAATTATTCCATTATTCAAAGAGAAATGCCTCCAGCCCGATGCATGTAATAGTGAGCCATATTGCAGCTCATTCCAGTAACCTAGTTGAGAACTGTTGTATGCACGCTTGACTTATCTGACTCCTGGCATGCCCACTCCACTGCAGTTACCTTGGAAATCAAATAATAAGTGTTAGCAGCTCCTAACCTTTTGCAGTCTTTCTGGTATATTTATAGACATTAATCTACTGTGGAGTGAAAATATAGGCTGCACTGTATGATGATGAAAAGCACATATGTGACTACAGATAACTGTGGTAAAAGGCTATGTGATAAACCTGTAAGCAAATAATACAATAATGTTGCTCATTACATGTGGCTCCATTTATCTTCAACTTATTCAATAAAAATGAAATGCTCCTCCTCAAAAAGGAATTTCCTATCTCAACTAAATAAAAAAAAAATTAATAAAAAAAGGTCACTTGAAAACTATCACTACATGACATCACAAGGTGGAACAGAGCATTTTGAACTTGTAGACAGACAAATCATGCAGGACTGCATGTGTGAAACAATTTTAAGTATGTTTTTGATGATGGAACAACATTCTAACATGGGTTAAATCTCACAAGAGTAAATTTTGCGTAATATAGGACCTTTAACTCAAATATTAGTCAAATTAAAAGCTATGAAATAAAACCATATAGCCTACAGGAGCAACTAACCTTGTGCATATCTACTTTGAAATAGCATGAACTTTTATTAATAAATGAATTATGAATTAATTTTGCCACTGGCACCTACCACTAGCATGTCCAAAGAGGGGAGGGGTTTTTAATTTCTATTCTATCCAGGGCAATTCAACTTAGATGACAATAACAACAAATGATCAAATGATTATCTGAAAATGACCAAAAAAACGAACGGAACGGACTAGCTTAACTTAAAGCGGCTGCCCAGTTTCACTTTCCTCCCCCACGGAGAGGTAATGTGACAATGTGGGATCCCATGGTTCATTGAACACACACAAACCTCCAGGCCAACCCCAGTTTTATTTATATCCTGTGATTGGATCTGATAATGGGAGAGAGTTGTTGAGAATCAAAGGCGCGCTGGGCTCACAGGTCAGTGGCGACTAATGACACAGACTCACACAGGAACACACTCCAATATGTTGCTCCAACTTAAGATAAATATAAAGATAAAGTAGCCTATTTTTGTGTGTTTAGCCGAATATTATGTAGGTGTAGTAGTCTATGCATTAGTTAGGCCAGCATTTTAATCAGAATGCCACTTTTTAAATTATCAGTATTTGAAGTATCTTAAAAAACAGTATGTTTATTTATTATTCAACACAGACCTTTGATTTTTTTTTTTTTTTTTTTTTTTAGCTTTCTAGTAACTAAAAAAGAATTGGATATGAGTTACAGTGAAGACTCCTTTCAACACATTTCACCCGTAGCCTACTCCATTTCTGTGGTTCTGATCTGCTACCAAGAAGATTTGGACTATATATTTTCTCCCCAAACTACAGTAATTACAGATTATTGGACTGGTGAATGCAGTAACATTATTTTATGCTTGTTTTTATTGACAAGCACTAGTGGATCATCTTGTAACCTCTTATGTAACTTTCATATTGAAACAGTAAAGTTGATCAGTTGACTAAACATAACATTTTCCCTTGGGGCTTCATAAAGTTGTAGAAACACAGCAATGAGCACACAAATGTGGCAGAAATATGTTGCCGTTAGCATGCAGAATTTTCACATTATACTGAATAATGATGTGATACAGACTGACGAAGCATGTGAAGAAATAACCACTCTCTGCTCAATGTATAGCAATCTACAAAAACACTTACAGAGGACAAAGCATGACCTTATCTCACACTGTCACCATATTTTACTTTAAGATGTGTTAAAAATAAGAATTATATTGTGTTTTAGGCAATTGCAAGTGCCACATCTGTACATGCAAGGTAGATGAAGACCATATACTATATAAATATATATAAATGGACCCCCTAATCGCCATGTTCCAAATAGGAAGTGTTCATGGGGGAGCTTCCATCTGCATCAAGTGCTTCCAACTTGTCATCTCTCTCTCTGTAACCGCAGCAGTGATCTTTGTCATTTATGGTCTTTAAATGTTTGTATTAACCCGCTCTACATGATCCTAGTGTTTTTATTTCGCTATTTTGTCTGTAAATAAATTGGCTTCAAATTTGTTCCTATAACTGCTAGCCTCCTGAGTGTCATTTGACAGGAGCCGAACACTATGGGTGACGTCAAACTCCCTTAGTCCACTTCTTTATAAAATCTGTGGTGAAGACCTTATAGGTGTATTGCTCCATGAGCTAAAATACATAGCAAATCATTCTTTACTGACACCTTGAGGCTGCAGTCAGTACTTTTACAGTATCTCTTAGTCAAAATCTTCTAACACTGAATATTCCTTCATGCTGAATCCACAACCACTGTTTAGTCAACAACAGCTTTTTGTCATCTATATTTTTTTCTTGAATCAAACAACATTGATGGAAAATTGTTTTGTCATTGCAATTTCAGCATCGTTTTAGTGTTCAAGCCTTATTCCGGTTTTTGCAAAGATCCATTTAATACATAATGCATATCTTGGGTTACAATTCCCTTCCTGCCAATGCTGTTTAAAGAAACATGTCACTCAAAAATGATGCGTTTAGCTGTCATACACTTTCGACTACATTCCCTAACGGACTCTGCTGCTGTTACCCTGAGGCAGAGCTTTAACTGCATCACAGCCCCCCTCACTGAAAACACTCACACTGACAGTGACGGGTTATCATGACTTTGCATTTGGCGAGAATCCTCAAACATCACAATTTACTGCAGGTTGGGAGGACTTGGGTGATCTTTCCGCAGTGCACTTAACCAACACACCAAAGTAGATGTTATTAGTAAAAATAGCTCAGGGCTGTGCTAGATTAAAGGTGCACTGTGTAACATTTTTAGTGGAGGGTATGCCACCCCCTCATCATCATGGAAATGTTATTGCTTTGTCTAGAATGTTCCACAGTATAGACTAAACCTGTCTATCACACAGGAGACAATCAGGTTACAGCACTTCGCTACAATCCAGTTCAGATCTGTGGAGAGTCACCCTTATGCACAGAAGGAATTATTGTATTTTTTAGCAATAGAAACACCTGTATGATGGATATGTTTAATGTCATATCATAGACCATTCCAGGCAAAGCAGTAACATTTCCATGGAGACAAACAAGTAGCAGACTCTCCACCAGAAAATTACGCAGTGCACCTTTAAAGCCATGTAATAGCAGGCTGTTAAGAATTTGGCAATTATCTTCTGAGGGGTATTCTATTTGGTTTAATAGATTTCTTGTCAGCGCTAACTTCCTATTGAGAGAATAGATGATAATGAGAGGGGAAACCTTTCCTATCTGTATGTGACGTCACTACTGCAGCAACTCTCCCTTCTTCACTAACATTATCTATCCCCCATTCAAACCTCCCTCGCTTCTTCTTTCTAGTCTATAGCTTGGGCATTTGCTGCAGATTAAGCCCAAGTCATTATAATGCAGAGAGCGTACTGCACCGTGGGGAGAAACGGTGGTTTAATCTCGCCTAATAGCTAGACAGCATGCAGATGTAATTGTCAGTGTTATGGAGCCTATAGTTGAAAAATAGAACAAAAATCATGCTTCACTTCTGCCCTTTCAACTGTCCTCATTGCATTTTAAAGGTGCACAATGTAACTTTTCTGCTGCAGGGTCCACCATCTGCTTTTCTCCCTGGAGTTGTTATAGATTTGCCTGGGATGTTCCACAGTATTGCATTAAACTGATCTCATTCATTTATACTAAAGACTGCTGAAAATGCCTTGAAAACATGCATTCTTGTTGTGTGTGGGGTTTCCTCTCCAAAGACCTGACTTGTAACTTGGTCTGGTGTCATTACCTGCTCATCTCCATGGAGTTTCCAGTGCCATATTGAGGAACATTGCAGGGAACACAATGACATCTCCATGGAGCCAACATTTTATCCTACTATTACCAGAGTTATTGTCTTCCTCTTCCACACAGACAGATCTCCCATTGACTCCATTAAGTTCACTCTGGAGTCTGAAATCAGCCCAAACCTCACTGAAATGGCTGCACATAGCGACACTGATGGGAGCTGACAACAGTATTGTGATGGGCCCCTGCAGATGCCTACTGACCTTATGGTATTACCCAGCAGGCACACAGCCTCATGGACACTGATTTTGAAACGACGGAAGTTGCTTCAAATTTGAACATAACGTATGGTTGGAAAAAACAGCTTTCAGTAAAAATTAGGTTGATGGCAAAAGGTTCCAGACCCATTTACTTTGCCTGGGTCTGGCATGCAAGGACAAGTATTAATTCAACAGCTTGGTTTGGTGGCCTATTTAAAAACACACACACACACACACCACATAAAGGATTTCCTGAATTTATATAATTTCAACAACAATTTGATATCACATATTTTGGAGTGGAAGACAAGTATTGTAGAAAACCAAACCTTAGCTTTTATCTTTTGCCCTTACTTCGGTTGCCATCATGTTATTTGCATAGATCAAGATGAAATATATTAGCTCCTGTTTTCACACCTTATATGGATCTACTGCAACTACACTGAGCGATATAAACTCATAACATAATATTGAATGATACATACTATTTCCCAGAGTTATACTCTACTCAGCTGAACAA